CATGTTTTAATGAAGAAAATGTTTGGAGAATATTTTATCTGATGCATATTTGATGAATAAGAAGTTAAAATGCACACCTTTAATTGCATATTAGTTTAAATTTTTTTTACGTTTTTCATTTCATTAAAATGTTCAGCCAGGTTTTAGTGAACTTACAATATTGTCAAAAACACAGAACTTTCAATTGTTATATATGTAAAAAGGCCTAAATATATGCAAATATATTCTAATATTTTGCTCTCTAACTAGGACGTCTGGTTCCTCTGCATGTAAACTCGTAAAGGCTGATTTACACTTCTACATCAAGCGCACACATATGCTACGGCGCAGCCTATGTGTGGATGCATAGCCCTTGACCGTGGCCGTCGGCGACGCTGACCCACACCTCTCAAAAATGTAAACTACAAAAAAATGTAACTACATGTCTCAACGAGTAATTGAGCAAAAACTTTGGCGTTTATGTTTATTGAATCTTAGTATTTTTAATAAATACAACTCTAAGGACAACAGTTGATCAGGAGCTTCAGAATTATTTAGTTACTGCATTTATATGGAATTTATTCTTGCTCGAGGAAATGTCAAAGTAAAGCTGTTCAGGTTGTTTACTTGTCAAATGAGAAGCACTTTTTACAAAACAGATGTTTTATACACATAAATACTTGTGCATAAATGTTGATTGCTTACCTTTCTATGGACATGATGCGATTATAACTGCAAATCAATGATAGTGTGAAATAGCCCACTGTAATGTCTGCCATTATAAAATAAATAAATGCAACATATATGAATACAACAGCCTCTTACAATCTCCGATATGCCACCAATTACACAAAAACTACACACCGCATACATTTAGTTCTTATTTGGGTTCAAAACGTGATTCCGTCATTCATAGTTCATAATAGTCCAAAGGCTGATGATAATAGTTAAACATGGCAGTTTGTTCAACGTTTTAGGTTGCTGAAAAAATCATTTGCTCCTTTTTTTTTTTCCAGCTTCTCCTTTGTCTTTTTGTGCTTCACTCTCAGGTTTGTCCATTTCTGAAAGGATCGGGTGTCAGAAGCACTTCAATAATCATGCACACATTATTATCATCAACTCAAAAAGTTTGTTATTTCAAATATAGATGTGCACCTTTGTTTTCATTCTCCTGGCTTGTTGCACGAGCAAATGACGTATCTCTGCAAACCAATAGCGTTCAACTGCTCGTCTTGCTCCGCCTTTTGGTCCCCTTTTGATGTGCTAGGTACCCTTTGCAAAGGGTGCCCAAAAGTACCAAAGTAGTGCTCACTTTTAGGTACCTTTTGACAGTGGAAACAGACATAAGCGTAGTGAACCAAACCGTACCATACCACTCAGTGGAAACGGGCCCTTAGACTCCCCAGTGAACCATCAAATAGAGCTACTCAAACTGTCTTGTGAAACTGTATTCATATTGCAAGATTTGTGTTGGGAAACATGAAGGAATTGTGTGGAACCCAGCAGTGTCCTCATCATCTCGTGTCTGTCCATGCCGGCAGTGAGCTTTCCTCCCCCGTCGTGTCTAACAGTCTCTTGCTCTTTAAACTCTACCCTGCTATAAAAGTGTGATGAGCACCTTTGAACGGCTCTCTCTTCCTCGCAGAGCTTAAATGTCCGATCGTGAGAGTGATAGTGTGACATTTAGCCCATGTGGTACGTCAGAAATGTCGGGGCATGGCTTCATTAACTCCCAACCAAACCTAGCTGAACTCTTATCTCCAAGCAAAGGTGTAAAAAGAGCTTGCCCCAGCCGGGGGTTTCAGACTAGGAGACTTTTTGAGGAGATTGTTTTGAATCCATTATGTCAGGTTCAGACTACACTGTTAGTATCTACAGTTACAACTTACTGGCAGCAGTTTTCCAGCAACTTACTGTAAACCAACCACAACTAAAATACTGTATTTACATGTATCTTGCTGTATATCTAATAATACTCTATTAACATTAATGTATATCTTTACTGTAAATATATACAGTAATTTTCACAATGCAGCTTAAAAATACAGTAACATACTGTATAACTGTCCTACAGTAAAATACAATTTTATGTAATTAAAAAAATGCACGATAATTTCTGAAGTTTTAATCACGATACTGTATTACTACAATATTCAAATAATCTGAAAAGAAGGTTACTTTAACGTGTATTAAAAAAATGTTGTGTGTGTATTGCAATTTTGGTTTTTAAATTGTATCTTGTTTAGGGCAGCTTTTGGAACGCCAGCCAGCAAAGTGTTACAATAAACAATACGTGAAAATGCAAAGGTGAAAATTAATTTTTCAGCAGCAGAAACGGGCAGCATGGGATGAAGTTTGGCAATGTTTCGCAGATCAAATGTCTTGACTGTGTTCCTCAAATGTAAGATTGGCATTGAAACTCTAAAGCAGAGCCATCCAAAATATTTCCAACTTTAGCCTAATAGAGCTGCTTATTGGCCATCGCCAGTGATTTATTAGGGTTTTATAGTTCTCAATGCAGTATGAATATATCAATTGTCACTTTTTTAGTGTGATGTTACAACATATTACTTTACATTTATTGGTCGTTGTTGAAGTTTGCATGCTAAGATGCGTATGCAGCTATACATTTATGGTATATCTGTTTTTAAGATAATTTAGTTCAATCTATAATTTATTGGCTGAATTAAATAATTATCCATTTTCTTAGGAATTTATTGAATATTTTTATCTGAAACGTGCTGGACATACAGTATACGTAAAGCAATAAACATAAGGCAAGCACATCAACCTGTGCACATCATGCATCATTTTTATTAGTGTCAAATGAATTAGTGGCAACGTTTCCATCCACCTATTTTTATGCACATTTTGGGTATGTGCAAAAGAAAAGGCTTGTTGGAACCGCCAAGATGTGCATAAGTTTTGAAAATGCACATAAAAAACCATATACGCATAACGGAGTATAGGATCAACTTTTTATTTAAAAAAAAAAAGATAAACTACGATTGAAACACTTTTACTTAACAAATTCCAGTATGCGCATTAAAAAAGGTCATGTGGTTTTGTTGTAAGAGATCATATGATGATAAAAATGTGTGTGAATGAACAAACCAGCAGGCTGAGCACATTGTAAAACATCTGAAATGTTGTTTTGGTCATTCAAAAACGTCTTAAGCATCGCAGTATTAGTGTTTCAGTATTAGTGTTATATTATTAATGACCTCCAGAATCAAGAGTGTTTGTGCTAATCGTCTCACGCCTTGAAAGACCATTGCGTGTTCACTGCTTGATTGCTTTCTGAGGCACAAGTCATTTATTAAATGAAGAAAAGATTCACACAGCTTCTCTTATCGCAGCAAATTTCGTTTTTACTGTTGATATTGGGCAGCAGATAATCAGAAAGTAGCGTTTTTTCCGCTTTGACTAGTTGGATAGAAACGTTGCTTTATTTACACATCTTTTATGCAATAATCCAGTTTTGCGCATAAAGTTAAATTTGCATTTTGGGATGGAAACATAGTTATATTGATGTAATCATTTGTATATACATTTCACACACACACACACACACTACTTTTTGTTTTGTTCATTCATTTATTCATTCATTCATTTTCTTTTCAGCTTTGTCCTTTTATTAATCTGGGGTCGCCACACAAACCGCCAACTTATCCAGCATATTTTTATGCAGCGGATGCCCTTCCATCTGCAACCCATCTCCGGGAAACATACACACACACTTTTTCACATTCATACACTATGGACAATTTAGCCTACACTATTCACCTGTACCGCATGTCTTTGGACTGTGGGAGAACCGGAGCACTCAGAGGAACGCAGGGAGAACATGCAAAGTCCACACAGAAACGCCAACTGACCCAGCCGAGGCTCGAACCAGCGACCTTCTTGCTGTGAGGCAACAGCACTACCTATTGGCCACTGCTTTGCCCTATTTGTTTTGTTATAAAACATTTATATGCATATGTTTTGTTTTATAGGGCTGTCGCTATAGCATATTTCTGATTAAAGTAATATAACATGCAATGCTTTTTAAATCTGTGTAAGAATGCAATTTACGTCAGTGTAACATTTTTTGTGTGGAACATGCATTGTTTAAGATTGATTACAGACACCATTTTCAACTAAAAACTGAACTTTTTTTTTTTTTTAATGTGTTTTGGATATTCATTTACACAACAACAACATTAAGCAATGGCTGAGCTGCAGGAGCATAGTGCTTCTTTATAGAGTTTCATAACCAACAGCATGCATGAGATGCCTAATACTGCCGTTTTAGTTGTTTTCATTAATCCATTAACAAGAATTATTCTGGCAATGCAAAACTTGTCAAATGTGCAAAGGAAAACACTTTAGCACGTTGTTGTTATGTAATGATACAACAAAAAGTTACTGGTGCTTATTTTGCTATTATTAATACTATTATCATTATTTAACTTTTGTAGGATGTGATGCATCAGGGAGGGTAAACTGGTTAGCTCAAGAAATTATTTATCTTCATACACTGCAAATTTTAGATTGTAGATTTAACTACCTTAGAGTTAAATTTAACACTTTCTCAGAGTTTATATGGGAACCACTGGAAAAGTGTTGAAATAACACTTTTGAAAGAGTTAACGTCATCAACACTCAGAAAGTGTTAATTACCAAACTCTTATAGTGTAAAATATTAACACCACAAAGGATTATCTGAACTCCAGTCAGTGTTATGTTTTAACACTCTTAGGTAAATTTTTCAACACTTTACCAGTGTTATTTTGATGGTGTTAACATAGTCAACACTCCGAGAGTGTTAGTTTGCAAACTCTTATAGTGTAACATATTAACACCAAAAATGATCATATGAACACCACTCAGTGTTTTGTGTTAACACTCTTAGGTTAAATTTTCAACACTTCACCAGTGTTCATTTGACATATTTTACATTTGTATTTACATTATGCCCTGTCGTTAATTCTATAATTACAATGTATCATTTCAATTCACCACTCATGCAATAAATATGTGCTGCAATGAATACATTTTATTTTCTTTAACATGGTTTTACATTACACTTAAAACACTCTGTACAATGACCTTGTACATAAAATCTCCTGAAACAAAACTTAAAACATTATCTTGCAATCTACACAATGCAGCAGTCTGGTACAACATAAAACAAAGAGTCTGCACCATAAGCCATTTGTACATCAAAAGGCTTAAAGAATCTTAAGTCATGAGGCATAACAACTGAAACATTATGCATGTTTTCAGTAACTTCAAATGCATGTAAATGTTCCACAAATGAGGTCTCCATTTCCGTTACCAAAAAATAAGCTTCATTCCTCAGAAATATACAAACAATTTTGTTGAACACTGGCAATTCTTCAACAACACCTGTGCAAACAACAAGACCTGTGTGAAACTCAACGTCTTCATGTTTAATCCAACTAGTGATATTTACTTCACTTAACATATCAATCTGAAAATGTTCTGCAATCAAATGACCATTGTCAACATCAGTCAGTTTCTTTGATTTAACAGGCCCAGATTCAATCCCTTTTGTAAAGAGTGACTCCCAATGGTATGCAACAGCTATCTGGTGTTTCATCGCAAGGGACTTAGTTATGTTCTTGAAATTTTTCAAACTGGACTTAAAGAATTTGTGTTTTGCTTCATATCGCATACTCCAAACATGAACTAAAGGACCAATTTGGCGTATACACTCAGGGTAGTGAATCATGAAATGGTGTTTTGGTATCAAATTATTTTGGGGATACAATTCACTGAATAGCTGGTGATGCTCTCGAATAAGATGTTTTAGAAATACAATCATTCCATCTGTAATACTTGGGGAAAATATTATGTTTACTATGTGGATTAAAAGCAGAAGTAAATGCCAGTGTCTGTCACCTTCTGGGACCACATCACCGAAGATTAGTGGGAGGTTTCTACTAAGGCATAATGTTTGACTAGCGTTAAGTCCAATACTGTTGCCACTACTAGACAGGTTTATGCGTGTTGGACGGTTCTTTTTGTCCATGAAACCATAATTGAATGCATATACACGCTGGAGTATGTTTTCATTAGAAATGAAGTTCTGATTCAAATAACCAAACAACAACTTAATCTCATATTGTGCCACGCCCTCTAAGACATCGTGCATGATATCTAAAACAAAATTATCTGAAACACTGAAGTATGACAAAGAATTGAATATACTGTTGCGTTTCAAGCCAAAACATGACGTTTCCCTCGGATTCTCACGAAGATAATTGTAATGCTCCTCATTTGTCAATCTGCTGCGCAAAACCATACGTGGATCATTTTCACTAAACATTGTTTGAGCCAATCCTTTGTCAGCAAGACACATTCTGCAAAAGTAGTTTCCAGAGAAAGATTCCACATAACCAAGGATTGAGTTCAGACCTAAATTGTCCCCTGTTACTTGAGCAATTGTACCATAAAGAGGTTGTTCAGTAAATGACACTTTCATTCCATGTTGTTCTAGCACTTTTACATCTTCAACAAATGGACAAAGAATTTTGTCAATGCCATATTTTTTGGAATCTTGGGAATGAAACAAAGAGATGAGGTGAATGTTCATCAAAGACGAATTTAAACGTGGTGGTAAATTTCGGACTGTAAAATATAAACATCCAAGCTTGTGAACCCCATGTTTTGACCCAAGAGGGTTTGCGGTTTCAAAGTCATCATAATAAACTTGAATTTGCAAAGCATTTTGTGACTTAGAATACAGTGCGTGATGCTTGTAGTATTTTCCATCACAGAAGTCTTGGTATAAGTTACAATCTGTTGCAGGAGGTTTATTAATATGACTACACACTTCTGGATTTTTGAAAATAAATTCTAGCGTTTTTAACAGGGGTACATAAATGAAAGTGTCATTTACTGGAACCTGTTCATATACTCCAGATTTTTTGTTTCTTTTTGAATCAAATCTCACTCCTAAATGAATCTCAATTGGCTCAACAACACCCCATTTTTCACTGAAGTATTTTGTCATTTTGGAATTTGTGTTTAAGTCACTAAATGGATTGAAAGCATTGCTAAAGACATCTTTTACTGCACTTCTTATTTGATTTTCAGCAGGTAAAGCACTGAGCACTTGTTCTTCAAGATTTGCATGAATTTCATCAACATACTCCTCCATACTTTCAACAACAGATAACACTACACTGTTTGCAACGCCACTGCCCTTTAACTTTGCAATAATTGACGCGCACATATCTTTTGCTTGGTCTTTTGACATAAGAGATGTTGATGGTTCGTTGATTGCATCTTGGTCCATTACAGAGCAGTTGTGTTGTGAGCTCTGTTCACCAAAGTCTGACTGATGTGGTACTTGCATAACATCACTGCTTGCATCAAGATCTGTAGTATAATGACAAGTATTTAAATGCATTTTAAAACCCTTAAAACTTTTAAACTGCCTTGAGCATCCTTCTTGTGCACAAACAAGAACAAACTTTTTGCCAGGATATAACCCATGAAAAAACTTAAGGTGCTGAATTAATGAACTGGGTGCATCATGCAATGTTCTGCAAATGTAGCACTTTAACATAGTCTTTTAGTTTCTGTTCATGAACTTTGCTCGTAACTCCTTCACCTTTGGACTTTCTTTAGTGGTGTCAACATCTACACCGTAGACTGTTGTCTGGAGGAATGTGTACATGTTGCTGAGTGCATCATCATAGCTTACACTGAAAACGAAGTGTGCTTTAAACAGTTCATCAATGGCTGCCAACGAGGTGGTTCCCTGGCATGGGATGATCATCTTGTCCATTGCAATAAAGTAATTGCTGATGGCGCTCTTGTGCATTCCTGAAGCAAGGAGGTATGGTTGGCGATGTCCCTCCTGTTTTGCGAAGTGTTCTTCAAAACTGTTGTTTGACTGGAGGAAAAAATAGATCATCATGATAATCTTAGATTATGCACTAAATTAATTAAGCTTATCTTGCCCAGTTAATCACAAACTGTAGCTCTGCACAAACCTTGTGAAACACAACTAGATGTTCCATGGCCTGAGCTGCACTGATCTTCTGTTTTTTCTTTTTAGAAGGCTGAGGTGGTAGAAGGTGCAGGAGCAGCAAAAAAGATGCCATATCACTGTCCCACTCTGTAAGAAACAATAGAACAATTTATTATTTTCCCTTATTAGCTGTTTTTCATAAATTCACATTAGAGCTCTCTGTTAGATATTACATTTTTCTTTGACATACCTCGATGATCCTCGGAAGACTCATCATTGTACAGATTCCTGGCTGAATTCAGCAAGCTTTGGAGCACTGAGGTGGTAGTAAGTCTCTCTGCTTCTCTGATCACTTTTTCCTTATAGAAGGTAGGCCACTTCTCAAGCAGTTTGGCAGCTGTTTCTGCACCAAATAGGAGGCTAAAATCTTGATCTATCTACAGGAACAGAACAACAAAAAAGTATTACTGACCATCTCATGCTTTACAAATATGAATTGTAGTTTACGGAAATCATTTCATCACTTACCAGCCCTTTCGTGTCCAACAGCCTTGGAAACACTGTGAGGATGTTGTGCGACTCGTCAGGATTGTAGATAAGGCGCTGTCTATAGCAGAAGGTCTCCTTCATCTTTTGCAGGACAGTTTCTCGGTCAGTGGTGTGGTTCATTAAGGAAATTAACTCTTTACAACGTTCTTCATCCAACTGATCAGCAGCCGAAGGCAGCTCCCTTTCCTGGGTTGGACCACCTGCTCCTGCATTCTGTATTTTAAACTCTCTGAACTCAATTTTAGTCTTTCGTTGAATTGTCTTTAACCTCCACGCAAGAAATCCAGAGCCACTTTGGCCATCATAAAAATGTTCCTAATCAAAAACAGAGACATAAGTTGGTTTAACTTTATTATAAGCAAATAGAAGGAATCCCACAGTCATAACTTTTTCATAGTATAAATATTATGTATAATATTTTATTAAAATGTTTCAAATTAATGTTGCTACTGTTGTCTTTTTCATTAGTTAATCCACACTAACATAATTTAACAAATACAACAAACGCACGTGCACTAATTATTGTGACAGTCCTTAAAAGTGTCAAGCAAATTCATTACCTTTTCTTAATGATAAATACATTTTAAATCAATATGTTAAAATAAATACATAACTTACATATCCTTTTGTTGAAAAGGGATCTTTTAATGCAGGGAACAAGGTGACAATTCCCAATGCATATTTTTCTTTAGTACTCCGCTGAGGGATTCTCCTGCAAAAATAAATAAAAATTGATTTTAATACTTGCGCAATATGAAAAAGTACACGAAAAAAACTTAAGAGAAAAAAAGCTTTATAGCAATTAACTGCCTAATATTAATACAACAAACTTACCCTTCCATTTCAACCATGTAGGCAGCAAGAATGTTAACCATTTGCCTTCTTGTACTGTCACACAATGTCCCAGTTTCGTCATATTCTTCCAACACTTTTGTCCCTCCTGATTTTGTTTGGAGGATCTGCTTTATAAGCTAAAATGTAAATTAGACTATTAATTGTTTTATTAAGCCAACAAGAGTAATGCTTGTTGGGAAAATCATCATATCACGATAATTTATTTCATATCAGTCTATATCGATAATTATCACGATAAATGTCAAATCTTATATATATTAATTAAAGATTTTCAGGATGCCAACCGCTTAGTGCAGCTGATTTAAGACATTTTGTAAAATTATATATATATATATATATATATATATATATATATATATATATATATATATATATTTTTTTTTTTTTCTTTCAGGGTTTTTTTCTTGTAAGGCACGGCTTTCAAAAATGATGAAACTCTGCTGGGTAGTTGAGCTGGCTTACCAACACTTGTTTGGGTCTGTAATGTTATTAGCATCTTCATTTTTTTACCTTATTTTTTTCTTACCCCTCCAAGTGCAACTAATACTGTATGGCTGTAAGCTTGTACTGCGTGTGGCATCTGGAAATGCAGGCTGCAAAATGCCTGCGCAGCCTTACGCATACTGCATAAATATTATCGAACACTTATTGTTTTATGGAAAAAAATACATATTGTGATAATTATCGATACCGAATTATCGCCCTGCCCTATATTGTTTTTTGTTTTACACTTAGTACCCATTGCACACTTCAGACGATAAACTTACATCTTTGGCCAAAGCACTCTGTAATGGCTCTTCATCAATTTTCATTCGTTTGGGTTGTCTTGACAAGTCACTGTCACTGCCACTACTCAAAACAGAGAGGGAACTCCCACTGTATGACAGCGGTGCAGATGGAGTTGATGACCGAGATGTGTCTGAATAAAACAAAACATATAAAAAGCAATTACCCTTATTTGCAGTATACTTATGGATATATCAGATATCAAATATCAGTAATAATTTATTGAAAATTTTATTAGTAAAATTATTCAATATTAATAATGACAAATACATGTGTTACCATATTTGTAATCTTGGTAACTTGTTACTCTCGTAATCTTTTTATAATAAAGACTAAATAAAGAATATTTTAATTATTAACATTTATTTTAATTTACATATTAACCAATGCCAACTAATGAGACCTTTTCTTCAAAACAGAGTAAAAGTCTTTACACACTAGTGAGGAATTGCTGGCAGTTTTTTTTTTTAGCATTTGGTTAACTATGCCACTAAAATGGACGTAAGATGAATACGGAGTGAATTAAATTATCTAAAATGACCACTACTATTTATTTTTTACCGTGATCCAAACCGTCCTTCACAACAAAGCAAATCCCTGCCACTGCAGACAATTCTGCAAACACAGTTTCATCCACCTCCGTGCCAGAGTCATCTTCCACTGTAATGTTGCTAGCAGGAATGGAGAACTTTTCTCTCACTAAATGATGATAAAGAGAAACATGTTACATTTTTTTTAATTACCAAATTACCTCCACCTAGTACGGAACCCCGGAAGGGACGTAGTGGAGGAGAAATAAAATTGGCTGGGTGAAAAAAAAAAAAATGGGTGAAAGAAAAAATGGGTAGGAGGAAAATATATATTTTTTAAGTTTTTGCGTTCTCTCACAAAGTTTTGCGTTCCCACGCAAAAATGTTTTCCGTTATCTTGCAAAGATGTTTTGCGTTCCCTCGCAAACTGTTTCTCCACATACACTTTCTGTGCACTTCAATCATGTAAACCCTCCCGATTTGCTGAAATTCTCCTGTATTTTACCATTCTATCCCACTTTCTCTACATTAATACGTGCGTCGATCGTCACCTTTTATATGCAACCTCTGAATCAGCAAATGCCAGACCAGCTTCTGTACACGCCATTTACAGAGGAGCGGGTGTATGTTTAAACAGACAAATACACTGAATAATATGTAAACATCTCCGTCCTACATGTTTTATTTTAAACAGCAAATTTTTTCTTAAATGAGCACAAACAGATTCTAAAGTAATGGACTGCTTTCATTATAGATCTGTGCATTCTTACAGAGACACCTCTGTTATCAAACTAAACAAAACATGAGATTCATTAGCTGCTCACTTGTTTGATAACAGAAGTGTCCCTTTAAATGGCACGTACAGACGCTGATCTGGAATCAGTTTATTGTACGGAGCGCGTCTGTCAGTCAGCGCTTATACATGCATTCACTGGTTTAGAGGTTGCATATATATTGCATATTAAAGAAAGTGGAATAGAATGGTAAAATATGGGAGAATTTCGGCAAAAAACGGGAGGGTTTACGTGAGTGAAGTGAACAGGAAGTGTTTGTGGAGAAACATTTTTGCGAGATAATGCAAAAACTTAATATATATATATTAAGTAAATATAAATATATATTATATATTTATAATATAAATATATATTTTCCTCCCACCCATTTTTTTTCTTCTTTCGCCCATTTTTTTTTTTTTTTTTTTTAACCAGCCAATTTTTTCTCCTCCACTATGTCCCTTCCGGGGTTCCGTAACCTAGTACAAGTTATTACTTACTCAAATTGTTATTGTGAATTTTACCTTCAGAAATGAATTCATCAAAATCAGCAGCCTGTAATTTGATGTATTTCTTGCGATTTTCATACTGCACCTTAATTATCATTTTTGTATCAACAACATGCGTCTACAGAGGAAAAAAAACAGACATACAGTATAATTTTTATTAGATATCTAAATGATAAATACCTAATTTAATTTACAAAATAACATTCAGAAAGATTATATTATGCTTTATTATGCTTTGCCATAAAAAAGTACCTTCTGAAACTGAAGTTGTTGTGTATTCAATCGTTCTTTTAAGGCTTGAAAGGCTTCTAACTGTACATACTGCCTTTCACACTTGTCATGATGACGGCAATATCGTTCTACCCTGTTTAACAAACGCACTAAAGCAAAAATAAACTTGTCACCTTCGCTAAACTGACAATTCGACAAGCTTGACAAAAGAGTAATAAAAAATAACTGGTCAACTGTAAATTGCTTTTTATTAACTTTTATATTTGTACCTTTTAGGTGCCCCAATATCCTATGAACTTAATCCTATGAACACGTTTAATAAATTATAGATAGTTAAACATACAACTAGTGTTCGTAAACTTTCTAGCATGACTTCTGAAAGCAATTAGCTTATCTGCAAATGGCATTTTCTATCAACATTGGCAGAATTCATAACTCTCGAGTCTAAATTTATAACTTCACATGTAACTCCCACTTACCCGAAGGAGAAATATTTGAACGTTGAGCCTCAAGAAGCTGTTGATTCCTATAAAAAAAGATGCAACTATACGTTAGTTAACGAAGCTAAATTACACACGCAAGCACGCACACACACTCACACAAAGACATGCTACGAGTAACGTTCGTTCTAAATTTGATAAATTATGATCATTAACTAAAACTTTCTGTCGTGATGCGATTAAACACACTGACTAAATTCGAATTTAGTCAGAATAATCGCCTCACGCAGAAATAGCACGTGAACCTCACCACCACTCCTGCTCGCGATGGAAGAAAATGGCGAATGGCAGGTGTTTAATTATCTAGAAAGGGCACTTGTTAGTGCTATACAACGGGCGTTTTTTCTTTTGATGTTGAATCAAGCAAGCAAAAAAAGCACGACGTATGGCTGTGTTACATAAATAAACGAAGCAGCTCCCTCACACGCGTGGACCTTTCTTTTGCTGTTACCAGCAAAAGTGTGTGAAAAGTGCCCGGGTATGGCGTGAGGGAGCTGGAGGTAACATTTAACGTTAGTTTTCCGAACCGCGCGGGCCCGCGCACGGGAATAAAAATATAATGTTATCTTGTTAAACATCAGTAAAACTTTATTAACTATTGCGTTAATGTTTAAGGAAAGCAATTCAAATCAGTCACAAACCGTATTTTCACGTATTTTAACCAAGAGGAGCGGTTTTAAGACAGCTTTAGTTTCTTTAATGTAACATAGATAGTACAGAACTAAATAAATGATGGAAAATGACATATGACATTTAAAACTAACGTATATATAACAATTTTTATGTCAAATGTCTATGTATAAACATTATAAGTACTTTTACTCACCAGTTGCTGCTTCTCATTGCTCCTCGTGGCAGAAGAAAATGGCGTATGGAAAAATCCTTCAGGGATATTGCTGCATAAATTCCCGGATGTAGTAGTCAACACTATATTAGCGTTAGATACATGTAACTCTGTGCGACAAGGAGGCAAATCAGCTTCCAACACTGAGAGGGTTATTTTATCTTTATCTAACTCTAGAATTATAACACTTTACTCTGAATTACCTCAACACTCAAAATTTAACACTAATGAATTTGCTGTGTAGAGGGCTGTATTAAAAACATGCGATTCATCATAAAAATAATTGAAAGTGCCTTCTTGGTGTTGATTCAAAGTGTTGTTTTCAACAAAGACTTCATGCTACTGAGGTCTTCTCGGCCCCCCTGTTGTGTCTCTTAAAGCATCAACAGAGACCACTGTTAAAGCGGTCCAACGGGGCCACAGCGAGACATCTGGAGGAGCAGGCGATGAATATGAATGTTTGCATGAGAGCTCAGACCCTGAGCAGGGGTGCGCTGCTCTCCCAGTGCAAGTGTTGTCTTAATTAAAGTGGGGATGATGTCGCCGTCGCCCCCCTCCTGTCAACTCACCTCCTCTACGGCCCTTCCTCCACCTCCCATGTGGCTCATGACACCCCAAGAAACATCATTATCTGTGATTCTTTTGTTTGGCTCAGGCAACAGGAGTCACTTTCACTAATGACCATTTTTTAGCTTTTCTGTTTTTATCTTGCTTTTCTTTTCTTTCTTTTTTTTTTTTTTTTTTTTTTTTTTTTTGCAGAAATCCAAGATCAATAGTCTAGGGGATAAAATAAGTTGTCACTGTTGCCAAAACAAAAGACTGATACCAGAGCAAACATGTTTACAAAATATTCATTTTCATGTAGTTGGGTAGTCATGAATTCAAGAATTGTGTTTTTTTTTTTTTTCGGTGTTAGAACAAAGAAATCAGATATTTCAAATTGCAGATATTTCAAATTGCGATTTCATTTTGTAGTCAAGCTTCAGCTGAATATTCTGTATTAGCTTCTTACTGATAAAATGCAATGAGTTTTAGATAAAAAAGGAACTGAAAAGATATTAACTTAATTAAACATTTATTCTAATTTATTTTTAATTATACAGAATTGAAACACCTTTATTTTTCTCTAGAGCAAATACAAAAAATGACCTTACCTTTCTGTGAACAAGTTCTACTCAAATTCGGAAGATAATGTAGCTTATTATAAAAACAAAACAAAAAAATATTGTAAAAAAAAAGAACACTCAGCAAACTAACATGGCTGAAACAACTCTGAAATTGTACTTTGCTCTTGCTTGCTACTATTGTCACAGGCGATACTTTCAGTTGACTTTTTAGCAAGACACTAATCACTCAATTGTGCTCACTCAATGGGCTAGTAAGACTATTACACACCGACAACAGTCACGCATTTGTTTTGGGCGGTGGGAATTAAATAATACATATATATATATTTTATATCACAGCCACTTGCAAATTGCGATTGTGATTCGATTTTAATTAATCACTCAGCCCTAATAAAAATTAAACAAGCCAGTAATTGTTATTTTTATCACTCAATATTAAAAGTGTGACAAGACACTCCAAGATACGAGATGAGGCATGAGATTGGGTTTACGAGAACGAGACAAGATTTTTATACTTTTATTTTGAATCCTCAATGTTGAAATATATAAATGAAAAAAAAATTTAATCAACTGAAAAAAGAATCACAAAATGCAAAAATATTTAGGTGCTTTTTTAAATCAGATTGTAATGAATGTTATTTTACTTCTTTTTGAATGAATTATATGCAGTAAAGGACATCCAAACACTGCAAAGTATTTTGCTAACATATCAATGGAAAATAGTGTTTATATATAATTTTAAATATCAGCAAAATATGTGCTAATGCATGTAAGAAAATTACAAAATGCAAAACAATTTAGGTGTTTTTTTAATAAACATGCAATTAATGTTATTTTACTTCTATTTTAATAAATTATGAAATAAAGGATGAAATATTTAGCTATAAACTGTACTGACTGGACAAACTCTGAGCTACTGGATGAGAGTAAGGACTGATAGGAGAGAGATGTTTTAATGGAATTTGAGACCGCATGACAAATGAAAAGAAAACCTCCTTTTTTTTCGTACAGCAAAAAAAGATGACGATGATGATTTTGTCATAGCCCAAGATCTCGTCATACCCCTGCTAAATATATTCAGCCAATACAGTCTTGTCAAGACACCTGCACACACACACACACACAGACACAGAAAGTGCTCATTATTATTGATTGTAGTGATTGTAATACCACTATTAATAATCAAACTAAACTTTTAAGAATTTTACTTCACAAAATGTCAGTGTAGACTTATCAAGGCATTTACAGATTTAAAAAAAAATATATATATTTAATAGTTTTATATTTGGTTTGTTTATTTACTCCAAATTAGGTTAGCTCTATTTCATTTATTTTTTATATTTTAATGAAAACAAATGCAAATATGTAATTTGTAATCTGGATGGAGGTGAGCTTTGTAAATCTCTTCGATTATTTCAGCCTTAAGCAGGTCGGAGGCTAATCCATACATGCACACATACACACTCCTATCACGACCAGACCATACCTCCAGGGACTGAAGATAGAAACATGAAGATGATGAAAAGAATGAGGTACATCAAAATTACGATACCGTGCCATCAAATAAACCAAGCCCTCATCATCTGCTCAGCATGATGCCTCTTGCCATCCAAGAGCTTTGATAACATCATTTGATCTGAAAACATCCAGGGCTGTCAATCATTCCAAAGCCTGAGATGTACTGTAGGAAAGATTTATGCTCACTCGTCAAGTCCAGTCATTTTTATGTCTGTAGTTCTTAATACAATGTATAAATAGTGTGTCAAAGCAGCTTTACAGAGAAAACAGGCAGCAATTGAAAATCAGGTAGAGAGAGTATGACATTTCATCAGTGTGAAACAAGTACATCAAGCACAATTAGATTCCACAGAATACTGATTCTAGTTAGTCCATTGATCATTTATTCCAGTTCAATTAGAGCTGGGTGATTTAATTAATGCTATTTTAGTGTGCATATTGTCAGTAAAGCCGATTCTAGTAAACCTCCAGCATGTGCATTCAGATGGAGCAGAGTTTACTACACAAAGTACACTGATAGGCTACGGAAAAAAAATCGAAAAAAAAATCAAAATTTGAATTCGGTTAAATTGGTCGATAATGACATTGAGGTAATTGTTTTGCGATAACACACTCTATAGAATACACAAGATATCTCACTCATATAGTTTTGTTTGGGAAAAAAGTAATGGTCAATATGGTGAATGAAGACCCACCTTCTGGTACAGGAGCCAATCATGGGTCGCTATAGACTGACGATTCTCTGGGGGAGGGGCTCGGACCAGACATGAGTTTCTGTAGATTTTGTGTGATTTGAACATTTAGAAATGAAACAAAAAGACGGTTGTTGTTTATTTTTTATTGGTGATTCCTAATATGAAATTTAATCTTAAGCTTGTCAACAGTGGCTTAGCGGTGGCCCCCCGCAGGAAATATAGACCTGGTGGGGGGGGTTAGGGGGTTTTCCAAACTGCAGTATACCTTGAAAACGAATGTCGTCCTATGCCTATGTTAAACAATGAGATTCACTGCCGACCCCTAAATAAGCTTACCCGGATGTGACTGCAACAGGCACCACCTGCAAATAGAGGAGAAAAAGTAAGCTTTCATGAGTTTTTAAAAACTCTCCGCTATTATGCTTGGATAAACAGAAAAGGACATGGACAAACATAGGCAGCATTTTCAGAACATTTATTATCTGAAATTGATTTGTATATCATCTTATTTGAATGGTACAAATAGTTTATGAACATATAATAATATACCAAAATATTGCCTTTTTCCCAAGACATTTCATAAGCCTTTAATTATTATTTTTTCCTGTGTTAGAACAAAAAAATCCAGAATTTGTTAAATAATATTATGTATGTTGTGTATACAATATTGTACATGTATAATTGTAACACTAGGAGTCGGTTGACAACAAAGGTGAGGTTCCAAACGCAATTTATCAACAGCTTCGTCAGGCAGCACACAATATCATGAGGGTAATCCAATAGCGTAGTCGTGGTCCGTGCAGGCAACAAACAGGATAAACAAAGAAACAAGGCACGATTCGACTAGGCAAAGAAAGCACTTTGCAATGTTACAGGTAAACATATAAGACTCAGCAATGTGTGTGGGTGAGAGATGAATATATAGTCCATGTAATCAGTCTATGATTCATTTCTAGTGTGTGTGCAATCAGGGAAAGAACTGGAACTGGTGTGTGTGTGTGAGGTGCATGATGGGATTTGAAGTTCAGTTCTGCGACAGAATTGTAGTTCTCCAGCGTTCATCAGCTGCTAGATAGCTGGTGATAGTGACAATAATATTTAAAATATTGGATGTACTTTTGGGAGAAAAAAAAAAACATTTACAATAACAAAAAGAATTCGCTGACATAGAATTTGTACAAAAATGCACAAGTTGACAATGTATAAATATTTGTTATTTTCCTTCAGATGCTGTTGCTTGAGTTTTGATGTGCACATCTTGTCAGTAGACATATCTTGCATTACTAAAGTCAACAATTGTTCAATTAAATGTTTGTTAAACTAAACGCTAATTGATATTGGTAGCTTGTGGAAATTGACAACCCTAATGCATACATAAAGAGAAAGGACAACAGGATGATGCAGAAATGATGTGAACTTTGGGGGTAGAAATAAGCCTATATGGAGGCAGTCTGGGAAATGGCAGGAAACAGGGACTGTGAAGTATCATATGGAAACATCTGTTCTGAGGAAATCCCAGCACCGCCACCAGCTTAAACATAAACATACATACAAATACCCTTCAGTTCTCATCCTGGCCTTCCACCGAGACTGGTAGGAAAGGACGGTCCGTGCCAACTGTCTTCCTGTGCTGCGCCCTTATGGCACATTCCCGGTCAATGAGATGATGGATGGGACGGGGCAGAGGCAGCTTAAATACACGTCTGAAATAATATTTTCTCATCTGATAACCCTGAATACACAACAAGGCAAGCCGTTCAGACTCCCATGATATCTTTGGATTGTAAAATGTGTTTATGAGAATATAAAGACAAGTATGGAATGTGGACAGACATTCAGCTGTCATGCTACTAAAGAATATCATGAGCTTAATGTTTTCAGATTGGCAGTAAAAATAGCGATTGATTTCAGCTGTTGTCATTTAGATGGCTTTTATGCTGTCTAGTCACCAGAGATGATACAAGATACATCGGCCAGTTGTTGGATGATAATAGATATTTATTTGGGATTTTTATTTGTTTTATAATGAGAGCTTTAAATTTGAAATATTTCATAAATCTTTACATGAATATATACTGTTAAGCTCTAACTTTTGCATACCCCATGCTGTATAATCATATTGGTGGTATGCTTTTTTGGGGTTTCTCCAAATTGTAACTCCCTTGGATGTGGGAATAAAAGTGAAGGTGGACTCAGAGAACAATACATGTTTCAGAAAGTCCACAGCTCAAGATTTTCAATGCTGGCACCATCGTTTTATCCATCGTTCTATCTTTCTATCATTTTATCTTTCTATCGTTCTATCATTTTATCCATTTATCATTGTATCATTGTATCCATTTATCTATCTATCTATCTATCTATCTATCTATCTATCTATCTATCTATCTGTCTGTCTGTCTGTCTGTCTGTCTGTCTGTCTGTCTGTCTGTCTGTCTGTATGTCTGTCTGTCTGTCTGTCTGTCTGTCTGTCTGTCTGTCTGTCTGTCTGTCTGTCTGTCTGTATGTCTGTCTGTCTGTCTATCTATCTATCTATCTATCTATCTATCTATCTATCTATCTATTGTAGAGCATCTCTGCTGACCCCTAAATAAGCAACAAAAATGCGACAGCAGCAGGCACCATCTCCAAATAGAGGAGAAAGAAGCAAGCTTTCATACATTTTTTTTTTAAAACTCTCCGCTATTATGATTGAAGACACAGAAAAGGACATGGACAATCATGGACAGCGTTTTCAGTTAATAATAATAAATTATGTTAAATAATATTAGGTACATTGTGTATACAATATTGTACATGTATAGTTGTAACACTAGGAGTTGGATGACAATGAAGGCAAGGATCCAAACGCAGTTTTTTAACAGCTTTGTCAGGCTGGCAATGGTCGAACAGAAACAAACGGTATCATGAGGGTAATCAAATAGAATAGTAGTTATTACAGGCAGATGATCGTATATGCAGCAAACAGTATAAACAAAGAAACAAGGCACGATATGACACTAGAAAACAGAAACAAAGAAAACACTTTGCAATGCAACAGGTAAACATACAAGACTCAGCAATGTGTGTGGGTGAGAGATCTATCTATCTGTCTGTCTGTCTGTCTGTCTGTTTGCTGAATATGCATTAAGAAGTGCACTGGCAGCATTCACATTCCTCAGTCACTCAACTAAAATTGGAGAGCTGATGCAAAATAGCAGACAAAGTTGAATTAAACTTATGGAAATGTCCAATAAAATTGGTCCAGTGTTCAAATAAGAGCATCCTGTAGTGCAGCTAATTGTAGGTTTCCCCATTAGGAAATGAAATTAGATCATAGTTCCCCTCATGTAAATAAGGAACGCTGCCCATGGCATGGTTCGAGATTCTTCTAATTGCCACTTATGTTTGGTTGGCTGAGTGGCACCACAGTGATGGACATGCCCTATGCCAGGTCTGCATTGCCCTATTGTCAGCTATGTTGTCATAAAAGGCAACCTTTATATTAATGAGATACCAAGAGTCCAGTGTCATTTTGCATCAGTCACCTTAGCCTGGTAAACAAGGCAAAAAGAAATGTTCAGTCTGTAGATTTGTTTGCTTGGCATTCGCCCCACTTATTAATGGAGAAACAGCTCCAACGATTGCCCTGATTATGCCTTTGTCTTCATGCATGCTGTATGCCAAAGTTCACTGAAATTGTTTTGAATCCTTTGAAATCCAATTATCCAGCAATATCAGCAGTGAAAAGAAAACCTTTTTTTCTCTTTCTGTTGACGCATTAACAATTATTTGAATGACTTGGAATTGTTGCAATTTGCATAATTATCAGACCCCATTCAACAGTCGCTTGGCATGATGCCTTTCAGGTGGAGTGAGTAATGAAATCGTCTTCTGCAGACTGAAGTCACCATGCATATACACACAGCACAGCAGCAACAAAGAACAGCCCACTTTTGAATATTCAATGATGCGGTGCTTAATATACATGAGTGGGTGTGCATAAGTAGTGGATTGTTGCCGGTGTTAGCAGACAGATCCAGTGGGGAGAACAGACTTCATGCACACACACTTACTCTGAATGAAAATGTACACTGGAGAGATTCTTGCAGAATAAAGCAACTGGGACACATTGAAGGAGGAGGAGGAGAAGGAAGAGAAAAGGCAAGGTGTTTGGTCAAGCCGGCAGCCACATGTGAAAGTGCAAGAACGAGAGAGTAAGAGAGAGAGCTAGAGAGAGACGGACAGAGGAAGGGCGTGCATTGAGTTCTGCTCTCCTCCAAGAGAAAGACTAGATGGTCAGATCTGTCCATGATGGGGTGCAGAGTATGTACTCTACAGAAGCCTCAAGAGCAGTACAAACTCCTGTATGAAGTATGCCAGGTAAACTACTGCTTTTATTTTCTTACAGAAAGCCGTTAATGCAGTTAAATGTATCAAAAGTGGTTAAAACTTAAGTGTTTCATGCATGAATCCATGTCTTACTACTGTTGAGTTTTGTTTGTCTAGAAAATGTATTGTAAAGCTTTTTGGACATGTTTGTGCGATCATATTTGTCTTTTCAGACAGAATGCTGTACTTTTGGAGTTGTGACAGTTGTGCTCCTGGTCTGTTGTATTAAGCTATGAGACTTTGGTTTGAGTGGGTTTGATCGAATGTGACAGACAGGTTAGGAATTGCCATGTTGCTATTGTAATTTGCTTTCTGAGCCTGATGGTCATTGTTATTTGTTTATGGCTAATTGTGTATTTGGCATGGTTAAATTGGAGCAAAATGGAAAATAGATAAATAAATAAAAGCACTGTTGCTTCAATAATGCATAATAGATGTATGTATTTGATGTAATAACTTTGGAAAGTTATATTTAAGGTTTTATTCACTCTTAACTCTTTGACAATAATGGCTTACACACTCAGCATTGTTGGTTTACAAAACCAATCAAACAAACATAATCCTCTTGCACTACTACACTTGATTTTGGTTTTATTGTAAAAAAAAAAAACAACAACAAAAAACACGTTAAATGAGAATATTTAAAGGCATTCTTCAAAAATGAAGGTGATTTAGTATTTCAATTTTTTTTATTTAGAATGTTTTTTAAATAAATTGGGCTCACACTTCATTTTTTCAGATTTTTTTAGTATAAATTTTTTTTTAGTATATGTACTAATTTTGGTACTTTTACTATAAACCGACATATCAACCGATTGGTAGAGGCTGATATTTTAGTTATTATAACGTGTAAAAAAAATTAATTGTCCATTGTCAATCAGTGTAACAGACATACACTGTTAAAGTCTGAAGAATAGACTGTGTAATAATAATGAATTATTAGCCCCCCTCAATTATCCCCCCCCCCCCTGTTTATTTTTTTCTGCCAATTTCTATTTAACGGAGAGATGTTTTCAACACATTTCTTAACGTAACATTTTTAATAACTCATTTCTAACAACTGATTTATTTTATCTTTGCCATGATGACCGTACATAATATTTGACTAGATATTTTTCAAGACACTTCTATACAGCTTAAAGGCTCAACTAGGTTAATTACTGTAGGTTAACTAGGCAAGGTTAGGGTAATTAGGCAAGTTATTGTATAATGATGGTTTGTTCTGTAGACTATCGAGAAAAATATATAGCTTAAAGGGGCTAATAATTTTGACCTTAAAATGTTTTTAGAAATTAAATAAATACATTAAATAAAACAAATAAGACTTTCTCCATTATTAGACATACTGTGAAAATTCCCTTGCTCTGTTAAACATCATTTGGGAAATATTTAAAAAGGGAAAAAGGGCTAATAATTCTGACTTCAACTGTATATTAATATCGTACATATTAAAATATAAACTAATAATGGATTGGTTTTTTATATCATAATGTATAAACAATATATTAAAATAATATTTTGTATTTTAATATATAATGTATTTTAGATCTGTCCACTGTATCTATTAATTATTTTTTAGATATTTATTTTATAATTTTTTTTCCTTCTCGCTGACAAACTTGTGGTTTGATAAATATTTTTTAAAATAACTTTTAATTCATATATTGAGCATGCATTGTAATTCTTAAATAAGAGTATTAAGAGTAATAAGAGCATCACACTATTATTGATCTACATATTCCTGACAATATTTTGTTTTGTAAGTTGTTACACTGAATGACATTTCATCAGGTGTAAATCACAGTAAAATTGTATGGTGCTCATTTTTTCATGCTCAGAATATTTTTTTATTATTATTATTTTAAACAATTTAATCAAAATGAAATTAAAGCTCAATGTGTGTGTCTGTCTCTTCGACAGGCATTTTGCTTTCAGATATTTGCAGCTCAGATATTTCTGAACTGCCATGCCATCCAGCATGTATGAACCACCATGTCCTCGTGAGCGGTGCATCGCTGTTTGACATTGTTGTCAGCTCTGATTTAATTTCCTGTGGGTTTTGTAATCCTGACGCTCGCGGCTTTAGGATGTCTGACACAATAACGCAGGGAAAGCTGTAGATAAAAACCAGCAGGGGGCCTCTGAGAACACATGCTCACACACACACATCCATGCAAATGTGCACACGTTATCACAGAAATTGACAGTTATCAACAAACTGTAACCCGAATTATCCCTTATTTGTTCCAGAGTGAAGGCTTCTTGTTAATTTGAAAAGCTCACAAACTAAAAGATGCTAATTTATTCAATTCCTGATAAAAAAAAAAGCCTATTTTTTTGTGGATTCCAGGCACAGTGAGACCACACTGTTAGCCAGCCAGGGGATGCATACTTGGGTTTGTATGGAGTATGTGTGTGTGTGTGTGTGTGTGTGTGTGTGTGTGTGTGTGTGTGTAGGAAGCTTTCAGTAAACCTAATGAGTGACCACTTCGTCTAGTCTTTTCACTATATTCCGTAGTGGCTGTTTCTCTGCATTAGCTGTTGATGACAGAGCAGTCGCTATTGTGAAAGACTCCGCTTTGATCGTACACACTGTGTGAAAGCGGGACTAAAAGCTTTCTCTCCTGCGAAGGGTCGAGCTTATATTTTTGTGTGTGTGCACTATAACAGTAAATGGTCTCTGTTTGTTAACAACCCAACAGCCGATGTTGGGCTTCAAAGGAAGCGTCAGCCTTTTCAAATCACTCCCTATTGGGGAAAAAAACGAATGAAGCAAGAAAAAAAAGAGACAAAGACTTATTGGAGGCATCAGATGAGGTCTTTATCTAAACAAGTCCTCCATGCGAATGCATCTGTCATGCTGCTGTCAATTACTTTTGACTGACAGGCTGTTAGTAAAGAGTTTTTGCTAGTAACTCGATGTTGGGTTACTACATGCTTGAGGAAAAAAACCCAATTGTTTTACATCCAATGGGCGTTCTTCACTCCTTATGTGATATTGATATGTCGTCTAAGAAGCTTAGAAACTGCTATTTTTTGTGTTGGGTGTTGAATGCCAAAGCTTTTATTAAAAAAAAATAATAATAATAATAATATATATATATATATATATATATATATATATATATATATATATATATATATATATATATATATATATATATATGTGTGTATATATATAAATCACAACAACAAAATAGAACATAAAGTACAGATGAAAAAGTGACAGCTACTGTATATTCTGGGTGGAGTTAGGGGGGGTCTTTCTTTCATCGAAATTAGATCACACAGTTTTTAAAAGCTAAAGCAGTCACATTTCCCATAGTCAACTGTATGCTTTCTTTTGTGTATGAATTTTTATACTAATTATTTTGTATGGGAAATCTCAATATTCAGGATTATTTAAGGTGAAATGAGTCAGTGACTATGTTTACATGGACATCAGTAATCAAATTATTTGCCTTAATCTGGATAAAACAATAATATGATGAAGGTGTTTACATGAATTGCTTTTTGGATGTTTTCCACATTTTAGCACATAAATCGATAAACGTCATTGTGTAACCGCATTACCTACATTTCCTACAGAGTTCCATGTAATTTCGGGTGTTTTGTTTTTAATTTGTCGACTTTAACTACTGTTTTTCACTTTCATTCAGAAACATTTCATGCATGCCCCCCATGAAAAACGAGATAATGGATGCGAGTATGAACTGCTGGAAGAGTGTTTTAATGTTTATTTTAATGGAATTTGATACCGCATGCTATATGGGAAAAAACCTCCGTGTTTTGCGATACATGTGTCTATGGTCCTTCACTAAAACAGTAGGTGCAGAGAATAGTGTCAAACAGTATATAGTGTATAGTGTATAGACTATCCTGTTGCAAAATGTAGTGAAAATCCTACACGACAGAAATAGTTTGATTTTGATGTTTACATGTCTGTACTGCACTTTAGTAATGTGACTAAAATCGACATACTCCATGTTGTAATTTTATTTCTGTTTAGTCCGATTATGACCTTAATCAGATAAATCAAAAATCACTGTTTACATGGTAGACTCTTAATCAGAGTGTTGTCTTAGTCGCATTAAAATCGGATTATTGGTGTCCATTTGAACATACTCATTGATTGATTCTGTGATCACCACAGACTAAGCTGCGTCTGAATTGAAGGGGCTAAAAATTTTGTCCTTAAAATGGTTTTTAAAAAATTCAAAACTGCTTTTATTCTGAAATACAACAAATAAGACTTCAGACATACTGTGAAAATGTCCTTGCTCTGTTAAACATCATTTAGAAAAGAAAAAAAAAAAAAAAATCTTAGGGGGGGCTAATAATTTTAACCTCAAATATATATTGCAAATTTCACCAGATGACTTAAGATCTCTATTTGCAATTTATATTGTTGGATGGATTGAGATGATTCTGCAGTGAGTGCATAAAATCTATAAACCTTTTGGGGTCCCCTGACACGTTTTCATTGTGGTTATTCATTGCAGTGCATTTCTGTATTTGCATGTTGTGAGTATTTTCGTGCATAACAATCTATAAATACAAGAAACCAAGAAAAAGAGACAATCAAAAAAATGTTTGATCGTTTTCCGAGTCTAACGGTATTCAAATACAGTAACTGAATGATAAAAAAAAGAAAATTCTATAAAATTGATCGTTGTTAAAGTCACAAATGGTACAATTTATTATGCCTGAATGCTTGTCAGGTCATTATACATTCACGGGCATCAATAACACATGCAAATGATGAGTTGAAATACAACTGAACATTGGATATGCTGCGATGTGACTATTGCGAATTATCATGTTGCGATATCGATGCTGAAATGATATATTGTGCAGCCCTACTATATAGCATTGTTTCCCAACCCTGTTCCTGGAGGCACACCAACAATATATATTTTTGGATGTCTCCCTTCTTTATCTGACCCATTAACTTCAGGTTTCGGAGTCTCTTCTTATGTGCTGCTGTGTTG